TTAATAAATATTTCATGAGCAGGACACACGCTGCCGGGCGCAAGGATAAATTTGCGCCGTCGTTGGGTTTTACAACATTTTTACAACCGCGATCTGTGTCAGCCGATCCGACCGATAAAACGCACATATATATATATATATATATATATATATATATATTGTTCCGTGTAATTCTTTTCGCGCTTGAAAGCCATCGAGGGCGGCCGAGAATTCACTTCGGTTAATGCGATGTTAGGAAACGTATGTCGGTTGATCAAGAATCGGGGGAAGTTTCTACCGCCGAGAGTGAGAAGCACTCTTGGGAGGTAGTGTCCGGGAAGAGAGTGCGATGAAAACAAGTGGCTGAGAAAAATCAAGAGAGCAGTTCGACAAGCGAGAGGAGGAGGGTTGGTTCGGCAATAAAACGCTAGCGGAAGATTGTGGAGGTAAAGGCACTCTCTTGAGATTGCCGGCGCACACATGATCCCGGTACTGATATTCAAAGAAAGAGAAAGAGGGTGAAATAAAGACTTGTCGATGTTTTCGGCATTTACGAAGAAATTGCAACATATCGATTTGATTGATTTCTTTGTCACCCTCGCCGCCGCCGATGCCGCGTTACCGCTTACGAGACAATAAAAATTCAGGAGCGTTTTAAGAGAGAGCAAAAACATTTTTACAGACGAGAGTTAAAGCTGCGAACGAGATAGGAGAACTTCTGTTAAATTTGCATTAATTTGTAAACTATAAAATACGTGTAAAAAAAAAAACTAAAAAATAAGGCAGTACCATAAAATTAAACAATGTTTGTTTTATTACAAGTTGACACAATTAATTATTGAAAAACTGAAACAATTAACTTTCCGAATCACGTTAGACGTATTTATTTCAATGAAAATACACCGAAAAAATTATATTCTTGTAAGTAGAAGATTTTATACTTAAAAAATCTTCTTAAAGATTTTAGATGATATTCTTCTGAAATTAAGAATATATTCTTTTTATTTAAGAATTCTTAATTTAAGAATATAGTCTTTTTCGATAGTGAGATATATATGTTTTTCTATAGAGGCTTTTTATATTCTAATCAGTATATATTCTTATCAATATTACTATTTAGAGGATTTTCCTCTTAAAATAAGAAACTCTTCTTGGCGTCTATTTTAGTATAAAATATACTTAAAGTAAGTGGGATATTCTCAAAACAAGAATATAATTATTTCGGTGTACGAATATGTGCAAATGTCCCAGTAAGCGGACAAATAATATGTACGTCAATCCTTAAATATTATTCAAGGAAACGTATTAAAATTTTTATGCATAAAATATTGTTTTCTGTTGTTATACCTAAACGTTTATTAAATTTGTAGTACTAGAAAGCAATTATTCATAGAAACGTATCTTATTCGTATTATTATTGATATGATACGCTTGCCTAGTAGTCCATCCTCCACAGCTTTCTTTACGTCATCTTGTGTATATTTATTGTTTTGTTCCTTTTTGCCATGCTTGATTTGTAAAACAAAAATAAAGATGTACTTGATTTATTAATATTATATATAATATATAATAATATTATATATATATACCGTAATCACGTGACCGAAGTCAGTAACACCGCCGCGGTCGCGCGGCCGAGGTCAGCGACTTCACCGCAGTCGCGCGACCGAGGTCACTGACCCCGCCGCGGTCGCGCGACCGAAGTCATGATCCCCCCCGCCAAGGCCGCGCGCACGCGGTCAGTGACCCCGCCCCCACCAAGGCGCGCGCACGCGGTCAGTGACCCCGCCCCTACCAAGGCCGCGCGGCCGAAGTCAGTGCCCCGCCAAGGCCGCGCGGCTGAGGTTGGTGATCCTGTTAAGGCCGCGCGGCCGAGGTCAGTGACATTACTGCAGTATGTATATAATACATATAATACAATATAAAGTATAATATTATAAATATATAATAAATTATATGTATAATATGTGTATTATTTAATGTTATATATAATATAATTCGATTCGACTCGATCAACCAACCAACCAATCGACAACGCGGAAAAGAGGCAACAAAAGATGCGATAGATTCGACTCCAAACGCGCACTTCTCGGTCCAAATGCTTTTTTTAATATAGAGAATATGTGCTTACTCGCTTGCAAGAAATACAAATTATTATTAACATTCAGTTGTTATTATTAACATAACAGTGAGCTGAAATGTTCACGAAACGTCGGTATAAAAATGACACTAACGCGGTTATATTTATTTATCAGAAAAAAAAATAAATCCAAAGAACAGAGCAACAAAATTAAAGAACTGTCCTCTTAAATATAGGACACGTATGGTAACCTTATATAAATGTTCTCTTCTCTCTCTATCGCGAAGTTTGTTCGATTTTATCACGTCGTGAAAAAAAAAAGTTCAACGCGCGCAATAGTTTTCCGCGAGACAATTGAAAACAACTGCGCGAGAACGCAGGTACTTTAAATGCAGGTGTAAACATACATACACATATATCTCTGTCGGCGAAGACGGTATTCTCATGCTAAGGTTCGCTGAAACATTTGACCGCAGAGGTGGATTTAATGAGCTGCGACCGTTTTCTCTACGACGAAGTGCAATCGCTGCGCGCGGGCTGCAATACCACGCGGCTTTAACCGAGTCAAAGACGATTGTTTTGTGCTGCAATACACGGGCGTGTGAAGTATCGTAACCTGCCGCGCAAGTGGAACATGTTGGTAAATGCGCAATGCGCAATCGAGATAAATCTGTGGCGTACAACGGCATTAACGTTCCATCCCCCCGTTTAAGTGCGCAATTTCGCGGTGGATACAACCGCGCATACAGCGCGTTAAGGGAGCGTGCAATAAATAAGAGAAAATTATTTTCAATATTCGATCACACACGGCCGCCGCACCACACACGCATAAATGGCGCGTTATTTGCATTGCAAATTTCCATTTTCGCTGCAATTTAAACTCCATTTTATATTGTTGAAAAAGACAAATTTCGAAATATCGTTATTATCCCCGCTATGTCATATATATATAATTGCAGAATTCGGCATAATTTTCTCGCTCGAGAGTTGCCGCGGCGGCGCGCACACACGCACACACGCGACGCGTGTGTATTTTATCAAACGCTTCGGTTTTTTGCACGGCAAAATAATAAGAATATTTGCAGGATTAACAAGCGGGATTGTTATATCCCTTGTATAAAACAAATTTAAGGAACAGTTCGACAAGTTTGACAAGTTCGAGTTTGTTTCCCAATTTTTACCTAACCGCAAAAAAATTTAATTGGAGAGCACCATTGTGGTCCGCGGATCCTTAGAGAAGTTCAGCTTAAGTTTATTTCGTTAATTATTAGAGCACCTACCCAAGTTAAATTGAAACTCTACAAAAGACGGGAACGATGTAATTTAAAATTGGCGAGAAACTCGGTAGTTTTCTCGACTCGTTTTTTATCTCGCTCAAATTATAATCATTTAACACGTAATAACAATATTAAAATATATATCTATAAGTGTAAATTTCTCGCACACGGAAAACAAGTTGTCGCAAATGCAATTTTACGAACGTGTGTGTGTATTCGGTACACCGAAAAAATTATATTCTCGTAAGTAGAAGATTTTATACTTAAAAAATCTTCTTAAAGATTTTAGATGATATTCTTCTGAAATTAAGAATATATTCTTTATTTAAGAATATATTCTTAATTTAAGAATATAGTTTTTTTCGATAGTGAGATATATATTTTTTTATATAGAGGCTTTTTATATTCTAATCAGTATATATTCTTATCAATATTACTATTTAGAGGATTTTCCTCTTAAAATAAGAAACTCTTCTTGGCGCCTATTTTAGTATAAAATATACTTAAAGTAAGTGGNATATCCTCAAAACAAGAATACAATTTTTTCGGTGTATATATTCTCATCAATATTACTATTTAGAGGATTTTCCTCTTAAAATAAGAAACTTTTCTTGGCGCCTATTTTAGTATAAAATATACTTAAAGTAAGTGGGATATCCTCAAAACAAGAATACAATTTTTTCGGTGTAAAGAACTCGGTAGAATCTCCGGCGCGTGTGTAGAGCCTCTCTTTCTCTCTCTATCTTCTCCGAATTTACATCGGCACGATAAGAAGAGATAATCGCGACGCGAGTGATAAACGAGCGTTCGTTTCCATTAAATATAGAGATCATTCAGCGGGGCTTTGGGCGGAAAAGCGGTTCTCCAGAGATAGAGAACGAGCCGGCAATTTCTCCCCCGAGATTTCCCGGCTCGATTTGGGAGATTATCATACAGACTAGGCGGCTATTTATGCGGAACAAACGATGGTCTATGCGACGGACATTGCCGGGCTGGGTTTCTGATTGAAATGCGCCCGGTAATTTCCGGTTATTTGGCGCATACAGTTATGCTCGCGACGCAATGCATTAGGCAATGCCGCCATGACGCCGGCAACGTTTGATACGGCGCGGAATGCGCTAGTTTCCACCATGGTCCATTTCCATCCGCCGCGTCCCGTATATCGACGTCGATCAACGTCGACGGAACCGTACGGAGGCTTACAGAGAGCGATTACAGAGAGAGGAAGAGAGAGAGAGAGAGAAGGCTATAATATCGCGCGGGGCTTTTAATCGATCCGAAGAGAGTACATCGGACTGCAAAAATAATCGTTTCGGTATAACGCGTTGTAATACAATTCGGATTCGTCTGTGAAACGTACGTACATAATTTAAGTGGGTAACGAGTACTAATTGGAAATTTTTTTTAATATAAAATATTGCGTACGTTTTTTTTTTTTTTTTCTCATCTGCATTATACCCTTAGTAGTTGTGCGACGGCCATTTCACGGTACGCGACATATCTCTGGCGACTGTATATTTCACAAATTTTATAAAACTCTCGTTCTCCGTGTATATTCCTCCCTTTGAATAAATATAATTTCGCGTTTCTGTGACGCGGGACATTTAATTAAAGTTGCGCAGAATAGTAAATGCTCTCCATCCTCTTATCGGAGAATTACTTACGTTAATGAGATCCAGTTTCTCGTCGTCCAATCTGCAACAGAAAGCGAAAAATGGCTCATTAAACGGAAGGTAACAATTTCAACGTCGCCATAGCGCGCCGGCGCTGACCGACGTTGAGAAATGCCGCGCTCGGAAATGAACTGTAATAACATCAGAGAACTCGACAATGTACGAGGCGATTCGCCGACGACAGAAAACTGCGCGTTTTCTACGCGCGCGCGCGCATATGTGTGTGTGTGTGTGTGTGCCGCGGGCCTGACCAGTTTCAAAAGTTCGCGATAAACCGGTGTGGCCAAAAACTAATTTTCCAACTAATTTCCGAAATAGGAATCGCAAACGAGAAACCGCTCCCGCGTATGACCGGGAACCATTATATACGTTCGCAAACGCGTAATGTGCGGAAGTTTCGGATAAAATCGCTGTGTTTTATATAACGTTTAACGTTTAAAATGTTCGCGCATATTATTTTTCGATACGTTTCGTATATACGATATATGTAAATATTATATCGATATCAAAAAAAATAATTCCGCACAACAAAATACAGAATCGTTTTGACAAATTTCATACATTTTATATATAAATAACGATAATTCAAATAATTTCTACTGTGTGTTTTTCATATTTATATTACATTTATCCCTCCGCTAGGGTTTATGAAATTACAGCGGAAATTATCTCGTTTGTATGAAGAAAATTATCTGTTTTTTTTTTTTTTTTTTTTGCTCGTTCACACATTAAACGTAGTCGCGATCGAAGTTCGACCCCTCTTTCTTTCCCCTTTTAATCAAGACGGACAGCAACGAGCGAAAGCGAAGTATATGTATATCTGCGCTTCGAAGCGAAGCCTCTCCTTAATCAACTAATACCTCGATTAACATTTTAATTACTCGCCGCGCGAAAGTTTGAGCGAGCCGCCGCCCTAAGCTTCGGCGAGGAAAGAAGATTAGAGTCTCGTTAGGGTGCGACTTCCCTCCCCCCCTCATTCTGCTCCTATACATTATACACTTGCGATTCATCCTCGGGACTAATTTGCTCTCGGCGGCGCGCTGATACGCGCGTTGAAGAAAATTATTCGTCGTCGGCTTTGGTCGTCGGCGCGTCTGTTCTCTTCCGTCGCGCAAAACGCGCGCGACGGGGAGTGTCAGACATTCTCGCGAACAAAGCGCAAAGGACTTTAATCTCGGCGAGGAACAAAAAGGCAACGGTGTAGTGCGTCTCTCTGTGTGTGTGTGTGTGCGTGTGACGATGTATATATACGATTTCGCGGCAAGTACTTTCGCGACTTGCGCTTTGTGCGCGGAACGCGAACCTCACACACACACACAGGTTGTGACGAGCAAAGCCGTCGGTTTTCCGTCGGCGCGCATTTCGCGGGCCCGGCGCGGAATTTTCGGCGATTAGAAATGTTGAGCTCTTCTTTGCCAAAACTGACTTCCGCCAGTTACCGCGGCACAAAGGAATAATTCGCGTCGCGATGCGCGCGGAGATTAATAACAGAGATTAAAAACCTACCGTCCACGGTCACAGTTTTCGTTACACAGTTTTTTTTTTTTTAATCTTTAACATTCTATCGGATTTCGGGAGTATTGCGTGTTGTTTTTTTTTTTTTTTTGTTTTTTTTCGTAACAAAATAGAATTTCCGCTAAAAGGGAAGTTTCGGCGGCGCGACAACGCCTCGCTCGCGCGCCGAGAGTCATATATCATCAGAGCAAGATGCCGGGGACAATGAGATTGCGGCCTGCCATAATGAACGCGGCGCATTAAAAAATTATTATGCAAAAGCAGATTAACCTACTTCTCTCGCGCGGCGAAGTACATTTGCGCGCGCCCGGCTTGCTTAATTGTCCTTTTCAGCGCGTGAAAATTTATGGCAGGTCGTATTCGAAGATTAGATGCAGTCTTGAAAAAAAAAAAAAAAAAAAAAAAAAGTCCCCTCGTGAACGGTAAAATAATTAGGGTTCTAATTACTACAATTAAGTAACAAAAAAAAAAAAAAGAAAAAAAAACAGCGCTTGCGCGATAACGTTTACACCGAAAGAGAGAGAAAGAGAGAGAGTTCGACGAATATATCCGTTTTTCCTTTTCAATCGAAGCGATAAAACACTCGCGCGAAACGCAACAATAAAAGTTTCGCGACGCTTCTCCCCGCCCCCGCGGTGGGAAATTTTATTGCTAATGTAATCGCGCGTAGTGTAGTTTTCTCGCAAAACAAGTTCGTTTTTAATCATCAGGAAACGCGCCCCGCGCCGTCGTCGGAACTACAGAAGTGAGATTAAAACGGCAATATATAACGTCGCGGAGTGTCGCTGATAAAAAAAAAAAAAAAAAAAAAAAGACAAGAAAAAAAGAACCCGAGATTTATCCGTATTACTCTCGGGCCGGCGGGTGCGCGAGTGTGACTCGCGCCGTCTCGCTCGTGCCAAGTGTCCTCCCCTCCTTCCCGCGTCTCCTTTGCTCTTGACTTTTTCGCCAAAGAGTCTTTCTCTCTGACCGTTCGCCCTTTTCTCTCTCTCTCGCGTGTTTGAGAGAGCGAGGAGAGGCGCCCGCCCTTCTTCGCTTCGAGTTCAAGTTGAATTTTTTTTTGTTCGAAGCGCGCGCGTTGTGCGCTCCCGCCGTCCCTTCTCTCTCGCGTACACGCGAGAGAGAACGCGCGCGCGTGCGTTACGTTACACTCTCCGGTGCCGTTTTTTCATTTCGCTCGAGTGCGCAATTTGCGCAGTTTTGCTCGCAGGCGAGATTAAAGATGCTTAATCTCTGAACGCAAGCGGCCTGTTTCTTTCAAGTCTCCTTCGGTCCTTTTATCACACCCCCCAGATGTGCTTCCCATACCTATAATCGGAGACTCCCGCATCCCATTCTCCTACCCCCCCGTGTTACTTCTCGTTCGCTCTTGTTTCATCAAATCTTTCCGCAGGTTTTTTTTTTTATTCGCGGCATCGCTCCTTCATTTTCTTTCTTCTTTAACTTTTTCCCCCTCTTTCCATTTACGATATCACTTTCCGTTCCGTTTTAGTATTTCCCACTTCTTCTCCTCGTCTCTCCCTCTATTTTTTTTGTTTTTTTCAAGAAACCGTCTTTTTCTCTCGAATCGCTTGAACATTTTTGCGATGCTTACACGCGATTCGTCAGGCAACGAATAAAACATTCAGCTCAACAACGTGTTAATATTTAAAACAGAGAGATATCTACTTCGAAATCGATTTCCGCACTCGGGAAAAACGCACTCGTCTAACGACAAATTTAGAGGAGGCGGAATGAAGATTAATGTTGCCATTTAACGTCCGTACAATCGCGATTCGCTCATATCGCACATCTTTCGACGCGGCAATAACTCGGAACTTTGTGCGCGAAAAGAGAGGAAGAGACAAAAGGAAAAAAAACAATAACCTACACCGAAAAAATTATATTCTTGTAAGTAGAAGATTTTATACTTAAAAAATCTTCTTAAAGATTTTAGATGATAATTCTTCTGAAAAATTAAGAATATATTCTTTATTTAAGAATATATTATTTATTTAAGAAAATATTCTTAATTTAAGAATATAGTCTTTTTTGATAGTGAGATGTATATGTTTTTCTATAGAGGCTTTTTATATTCTAATCAGTATATATTCTTATCAATATTACTATTTAGAGGATTTTCCTCTTAAAATAAAAAACTCTTCTTGGCGCCTATTTTAGTATAAAATATACTTAAAGTAAGTGAGATATCCTCAAAACAAGAATACAATTTTTTCAGTGTAGACAAATGTAATTGATTTAAGCGGGAGTACTCGCGGCGGAGAGTTGCCGTAGCAAAATCAAACGAGACACCGCGCTCTCTCACTCTCTCTCTCTCGCGCGGTTTAGCGCCGCGCAGAAACAGCGTGTTGATTTAGGACGGTAAGTTATGATCTCCCGAGTACTAACTGCAGCGCCCCGTGTGGTAATATCTCGCGGAATATGGAGGCGCCAGATAAATTTCAGTAGCAATTAGCGACCGCCGCGATAAAATCCATAATGTCGCACCGTATAGTCGTCGCGGAGTTGCGCGCAACCGCGACCGAGCGCGCCCGTGTGCTAATTGAGTGCGAATCTGGCCGGCGTATATCCGCGCGCGATACTTGGACCGGAGAATTTTGAGAGAGCAAGCTTTTATTACGATTAATCATTGACTCTTTCTGGTTGGCGCTCGTACTTCCAATCAAATCAATTGCGACGTTATTTGCGAAAAGTGAAATTTTCGTCGACTCGACGCACAACGGCTTTTTAAATTTCGACTCCAATTAGAGTCGAAATATTTTGCGTATTTTTTATATTACTTATGTTAAAGCGTTGATCATTAAATCATTATATTATTATATTAATATCTTGTTTTTGGCTCGATGTGACTTTTTTAATTTGTTAATTTGTTTTTAAATTTGTTTTTTTGCGACTACTGTGTGTTTGTACATTAAAAGTTTGCAATCGATCGAAAAGATGGACGGAAATATGCGACGCGATAAAAATTGTGGTTGACGAGAAAAATATAAAACGTATATATACGCGTTTCGTTTGTGCAGGAGCGGAAACTGCTTCGAACGGCGGAATTTTTTTGTTAAAACGGTTATGTTAAAAAGGCTAGCGATAAGAATCGCGCTGTTGTGACGCAATTCTTGGACCGCTTCAACTTTTTTTTTTTTTATCCGGTTAAATTTCCCGGATATTATCCCGCGCGACCAATTCCGTGGGTTTTAACGAGGGGGGCGGGGGGGAGGGGGGGGGCAAAAAAGTGTAACGTCGTGCAACTTTTGTGGATAGCGTATATACGTTTCTCTCGGTTGCGGTTGAAGTCACACGTTTGGATATCGCGAAATCGCGTATTATTCGCGGTCTTATCACTTGGCCACACCTCGTAATAGGATACGGAAACCGCGAGCCGTGTACGTGCGCACGGTACTCGCTACATTAACGAAATCAGTCATCATTCGTAGCGCGCAACACTACCGAAATCTGACCGCGGTGCTAATGTCCTGCAAATTGCAGACCGCGTTACGGAGCTGGAT